GTCTGGATTGTTGCTCCTCATTGTCCATGGGCTTTTAACTTTGCTAAGATGATTTCATTCTTCCTGCATTCCTGTAATGATAAACATGTAACAATGTAATAACACTGATCACATTCCCTTCCTGCGTCTATTGCGAGTTAGAGCCATATTCTAATTGCGTAAGTCATATACACATTGGCATAAGTTAGTAGAGACAAATATAAATAGTGCACTTCACTCAATAAACAAAAAATTGTACTCATTGTTCAATCTACATTACAGTCAGAAGTAAACAAAAAGCAAAATAGTAATGATACGTGTGAATGCAATATTTACTCAGCGTGGGAAAAAGATGGTTTAACAAGTTTGCAAATGCTGTGGTCTATTTCATTTGCTTACAGTTTCTTACACAATGCTCTTGACTTAGGTTACATTGATCCTGCAATTACTACTGTGCAGTGTTCTAAAGCGGTGAAGGTAACTCGTAGTTATTAAGAGACTATTGACGCACCACTCTATACTCTATACTCTATACTCTATACTCTATACTCTATACTCTATACTCTATACTCTATACTCTATACTCTATACTACTATCAGGGGCGTAGCTACCATNTGCAATATTGCTTGTATTTACTATAAGTTACATTGCCATAGTTCTTATCGTGATATTTACACCCTTTGATAATTGGTCAATTGAATTCAGTATAGCTATATATTTCATTTCTGCTGTCATGCAATAAAGCTGTACATATTCACAAAAAGACTGTATAAACATCCCTGCAATCTTTATTTACATGATGTCAGGACATCTGTNGATAAAATACAGCACATTATGAAAGCTCTCAAATTCCTGATTCTGGAAGAAGCAAATTAAAAGCTTTCTGTGAAATCTAATATCTATTATATTAGTGTAGTCATGCAAAATTGTCAATAAAATGTTGATTTGCTTCAGAAAGAGGATGGGTGAACCAATACCTTAAAGAGCACATATTTTATTGCGGTCGGGCAAGTTCTCATAACCCGCTATGTAGTTTTGGAAGACTCTTCAAAGTCACTCAGCCACTTCTTTGCACCATCTTCAGTTTGTGCACTTAGCTGCAGTGACGCTACAAATCCAGATCCATTTGTATGGAAGTCCGATACATGGTACTGGTAGTCAGAATTTGTAGGCAAAATTTCCTGCAAAACAAACAAAAAATACAAGAATCCTATATTATTCCATAATTTTTTTTACACAGATCTAAAGAGGTTTTAAGCAGGGAAAGGTTTTAAGCCTACAATTACATTACTGAATAGAGCAATTTCTTAATTTGAATTTATGGATGTAGGCTAGCTTGCACATCTTTCCCAAGTGTTTGGTGACAAGCAATCCAATGAACCTGCTACAAACAACTGCATTTTCTAGGCAGGCAGAATTTTTTTTGGGTTGCACCCGCATCACTTCCAATTCACCTCTCTTCTTCAAGTTCTCGTTTCCTTGTATTCCCGCACAGATGTAATGGAACCAGCGGTCGCAATTGTCACAGCAGATACTGTTTTCCTCAGTTTCAACAGGGTGTGCTTGGCACACTTCCCCACACATACCACATGGATAGTCAGTGTTTGGATGGATGTGACCTTAATTTAAACGCAGTGGCTATTTGTACCGATTGGTAAAAATAATTCTAATATTAGTGTCCTTGTCTTTAGATAGATGCTCCCATATTTTTTTCCCCACCTTCCTTATTACTCTTTCCTCCAGTTCAGTTTATCTGGTGATATTTAGGTTCAAGGATAGAGAACATGGGGCCCATTGAGACCTAGGCTATGGCTATGGCCATGAGACAGATTGGCGATAACTCGGATAAGGCTTATTGGCAAACCCTTGGACAAACTTTACTGCTGTAGCGCTGTATTGGCAGATTGGTATATCTTTGAGTTTACATTTTGTCAAGGCCTATGTTGCAAGCAAAAAAAGTTAATCAAATGGATACGGTATCATCTCCATTTAATTATTACCTAACCCGACCAGGCTGTGTGACTAACGTCAATATACTCCAATAGCGTCAATATAGGGTCTTAATTCTAACCCTAGCAAAGACCGTTTCTTGGAGCTAATTATTACCATAACATCTACAATAAATACTATTACTACTACTAGTATTAGTATTACTAGCTGAAACCCGCGCTACGCGCGGGCTTAGTGACTGTGATGCATGTGTTACCAGTGCAGTAGTGTTAATACTGTTATGTGTAAGGTGTTATATGGAGAGTTTAGTTGTTGCACATGTTTGTTTTTTTATGGTTGAAATGTCAATACAAATACATGTGCAATCATGCTTACACGTAACACATTAACCATTTGTTTGGCAAGTACACAGTGAAATACACACACCCACACAGAAATGTTTTATTGTATGCTATGTAGTACTTATGTACTGGTTGATGATACGGNACACACACACACACACACACACACACACACACACATGCACACACACAATAAAATACACCGATTTTATGACAGAATGCATGCATATAAAGAAGTAATAACCGTATATATGATACATAAGTATGTTATATACCTATTCTTTCTCATTTTCGTTCTAATTTCTTACAGAAAACTGAATTCAGCTGACTCAAGTGAAATAACGCCAGTTAATAATTTTTGCCGAATCATTTACAATTCTGCGCGTTTTGTTGCGATCATTTGGTTGCTGCACGCTGCTTCCACCTAAACGAATCTCCTCGGTATGTACAAGTTGATAGGGTTTCTCTACGTCACCACTTCTCTTTCCTTCTCTGCTGTTTTCTTCTCTTTGCTTCTCTTCTTTTGTCTTCTGTTTGCTTTTCTTCTATTGTCTTCTCTTCTCTTCTGTGCTCTTCTCTTTTCTTGTCTTGTCTTCTCTTCTCTTCTCTTCTCNTTCTTTAGTCAATATATCGTTATTCGCTCTATTACGGTTAGAGTTCTGCTATTGGTCCCGATTAGTTATTACTCCTGTACGTGATAACCCCCCAAGATCTCCACACTACTGTGCCTCTATGCGCTCCAGGGGCGTGCGGCGTCGTGGCGGGATGCCAGCTGAAGCGGCGGTCGGGGTAGTGGTCGTAGCGGCAGGCCGTGGGGTAGCGGTTCGTAGCGGCAGCCGGCGGCAGGACAATCGGGGGGCCCTGCTGGCGCGGCGCGTAGACGTAGAGGGTCGAGGTCCTGCGATGTGACGGCAGCGGTCGTCGAGTGGCCCATGTATTTAGTGATGACGTCAGAGACACGATGTAACCAGCCTGTTCAGGGTATTCATTATGCCAAAATTTAAAGCCTCAACCCTCCTACAGCCGTTAATAAACCGGTAGATTAACTAAATAAGATGCTTCGTGGTAGATTTTGGGTAAGGGGGTTATGCTAGAAAGTGACTTCGTCTCTGGGTGCTATTTAGAAGTGCATTCTAGTCTACTGCAAACGTAGTAAAACGATTCGATATGTTATAATGTTATTTTCAATATATTTCAGTATAAACTAACATGTAGAATGGAACGTGATGGCAAATATAAATAGTGAACAATAAAAAACCGTTTGTTACACTACATTTCTTAAAATTCCTACTTACCTGGTCTTCATCAACATCCTTGCCAGAGTCTAACTTTAGTTGTTCAACTTCAATGTTTTCCTGGAGGCGTGCCATCTCCTTCTTACAGTTGGCTCTGCAAACAAAACCAACATTCTAATTGGCCTCTCGCCACGCCCTAGGTCTAATGCCTATCAGGTAAACCATTAGCAGGCCTGGAATCTGCACTTTCCGATGGCATGCACAAGGCAGCGCACCTAAACACTGTGTGATTATGGTTTGCAGTTCTGTCCGACTCAAACACAATAAAAGAACTGTCTTCATTTAGAAAGTGCTCTATTACCTGATGAATTACCTGATGAATCACCAGTTTTGTGCTGGTCAATGTTACCTCGACTGGTCTTGTATCACCTAACACAGCTTAAATTTAATGTAGCACTGAAGAATCACCCCCACAGAGATGCCAACACATATTTGAAGCAATCTGTAGTTTCTGGCCATCAAATTAGTAGTTCTAGGGTCACGTAGTGACCCGAGTTTGATAGGGGGGTCCGGCATGCCCCCCGGAAAAATATTTGATTCTGAGATGCAATTTCCTGCATTCTGAGGGTCAAAAATGACAATAATTGACAAAAAAATACAAATAAATTGTAGTGGTTGGCATCTCTGCCCCCAGTGGGTGAAACTACATAATATCATGTACATATTTCATCCACAGGATGCTGTACAGAGAAAGATGGATTTATGTCTGTTTTGTTTGTTTTATGTTATGAGACGATGCTTTAATAATCTAGCCAAATAAATTAGCACGGTTTTAATCAGTTACAAAAGGGAACGCACAGTAAACCCTTATTTTACTGAATTTATTACAGTAACAAAACGGTGCACACTAGCAGGATAGTGCTTCAAGTTAGACCTCCTCTAAGCGTTGAAAGAAAATGTGTGAAGTTTACAGCAAAACCAACAGCAAGTGTTAAGCATCTCTTAACAAAGCTGGCCCTAAGTGAAGCAACAAAGTACATAAATAAAATACATAAATATACATAAATAGAATAGATATAGAATTCTAATATAATAGAATGTTCTTATAGCGAGAATCGGACCGATACCTGAACTCCTGCTCCTGCTTCTTCAGGTTTTCGTTGGTGGCAACCAGGTCACGAAGTTTCTGCAGAACCTCCTTGTTTTCACTATTCTCCACGTCAGCCAGTGCTGCTATCTCTGCATGCAGTCGCGTGTGATAGTCCCTCGCCTTTTGCACTTCCCGTTCTGCATCTTCGTACTTCTGCTTTAGATCTGCCCACTTCGCCTGCGCCTGTACACATAATAATAATAATAATCATCATCATCATCATCATCATCATCATCATCATCGTCATCATCATCACCATCATCATCATAATCATAATCATAATAATAACAATAATAATAATAAACATAATAATAATGGTAGGCCAATGGTAAGTGGTCTGCAGCCGTAGTGGTGTGACCTTCATGTTAGCTAATAAAAAAATTTCTTCTTACATTGTCTCACTAATGTTTATAGCCCACTCTGTGCTCTCAAAATATTTCTAAAACACAACTAAATAAACAAACATTACTGCATAACAAATTTCTATTTGTGCTTATCTATTTGATTGTGGATATTTTATGGGCAGATGCACTCACTTCCTCCAGTTAAAGATTTTCTACAGGTTACTAGAATCCCCACTACTCCACCCACAGAGTTCACCCGCAAGAGATCGTTAGATGAGCGCTGTCGCTCTGCGGCACTTGTTCAGAGAACACGAGGGAGCATTATGCGGGTGCCCAGCGATCAACCAGCATGCTGTCGCTCTCTCATACAAGCAGCTGAGATGCAAACGCAGCGCTGGAGGAGGTGAGTTGCCTGCTGCGCCCATAAAATATCCACAGTCAGCTAGACGAGCAAATAGAAATTTGTTATGCAATAAGGTTTTTTTTATTTAGTTGTATTTTAGAAATGTTTTAAGGTTCAATCGGGTCAGCTGGAGGAGGTGAGTGCATCTTTGGACAGTGACGTGAATGCACAGGTTTTGGACAAAATAACGTCAATTCATGATTTATCTAACATACGTGATACGATGGCCACGTGTCACGTGATATGACAAACATTATGCAATGGGGGTTCAGC